TCTAATTTGGAGTGCATATGAGTGAGATACACTAGTTTCAAATTTTTTAAATTTTATTTTTGTATATGCCTCCTTAAGTGGCCCGTATGGAAAAATCGATTTTCCCATACGGGCGCTTAAGTGAGCCGCATGCAAAAATGAGCTCATTTTTGCATGCGGCCGTCTTAAGAGGCCCGTATGGGAAAATCGATTTTTCCATACGGGCCACTAAAGGGGCCGCATGCAAAAATGACCCTCGATTTTTGCAGACGCCACTAGTTATGGTCCGTTTGCAAAAATCAAGGGGCCTCGTACAGAAAATACACTTTTGTAGTAGTGGCGGTGGGGGCGGCAGAGGACTGCGGAGGTTGGCGGCGGCCCGACTGCTCCCGTCGGCGGAGGCGGCCTTAGGGGCTGCTGCGGAGGACGGTGATGGCTCTCGTCGACACTAGCGGCCCTAGGGGTTGTGGCGACGGCGGTTCCAGGTGGTGGCGGCGGACTAGAGGTTGCGATGGAGGACGGGGGTGGCTCCCGATGGCGTTGGCGGCCCTAGGGGCTGTGCTGGTGGCTCCCATCGGCACCAACAACCTTAGAGGTTGCGGCGGAGGACAGCGGCGTCTCCCATTGGCGCTAGCAGCCCTAGGGGCTGCGGCGGCTATCGTCGGCGCCGGTGGCCCTAGGGGCTGCGGTCGTCCAGGACAGCGGCGGTTCCTATCGGCACCAGCGGCCCTAGGGGCTGCGGCGGAGCATAGCGGCAGCACTTTGAATAGTGGATGTCTAGGAATTCGGTGAGGTCAAAGTCGATCCCGTCGGTTTGTGTCTGGTTGGCTAGTTCCGACTATACGACAAATGACGACGATTGAGAGTGGGCTAACAAGCTGCGTGTGACGTCAGCTCACCTGAAATTGATGAAGATTGCACCAATGGAGGTTTGCATCGACGGTGCACTAGGGGCGAAGGCGACTGGTAGACTTCCACTAGTCAAATCTGGCCGTTTCAAGAGACTATGGCAGGATGCAGAGAAGCAGGATGTGCCGAGGTCATTTGGTTTTGTTTTCTTTTTTGGTTGTGTTCTTCTTCTTGTTGAGGTGTGAGCCTAAGTACTTTTGTATCATTTTGGCTGTATATATCCTTCGTGGATATAGAGGCTAGATTAATGGAAATCTATTATCTAAAAAAAAAAGTTATGGGCTCTTCTTTTGCTCCCAGTGAAATACCGGAAAGCTCCTTGTGCAAATTTTGGTCTCTGTTCTGCATGACAAGCCAGACGAGCATTTTGCATTTTTTTTCAGGCCCCATGGTTTACATATATATGAAGATGTTGAAGTTTGGATTGATTGACCCCATAAACGTGGTAAAAGTTTTGTAGCAATTTGATTGGATTGAAATTGAATTGCCCCAGGAGCCATGAAAAAAAAAGTTTCAGCATACAACATACTAGGTGCAATTTTGAAGGGCTCTTGGAGGAATTAAACAAAATTCTATGAAAATTCTGTAAAATTTATACTGTGTTTTACGGAGCCCAAACATTAGTCCGTTAAGACGACATTATGCATCAAGCTAGACAATATATTGCCACGAGCCTTTTTCTAACCTACTGGCTACAAACCCACAGAACCCCTTGTTATGTGCTCTGCACGTCGCGGGAAAGAATTGTCATTGTTTGCTGGGACAGCATTTCTCGTCTTTCGATGCAAAGAGAGCACAAAAATTTGGGAAAAGCAGGGCGCAGATTAAGGGGAACCAGATAACCTATCCGTGCCAGTACTAACGACCAAACGGTCGGTTCTGAAACGTGCACTTTGACCTGTCAAATCTCAAGCAAAGGTGAATTTACCCGGTGGAGTTCATGTTTAACCGTGAGGGAGAGAATGCCTCTGTGGATATAGGCTGCGTTTAGTTCAGCGTAAAGTTTAAATTTTGGTTGAAATTGGATATGATGTGACTGCAAAGTTGTGTGTATAACAGATTAATGTGATAGAAAAGAACTGAAGTTTGGATCCAAACACAACCATATTATGGATATATGGAGCATAGCGAAATGGAACCCACGCGGCACAACGTGCTAAACTGCTACTCTATGGCATTTGGATATGGAGTAGAATCAGGCCTATATTTAGTAGGAAAAAAAAAACTAGTACTATATCCGTATCGGTACAACTCTGCAGATCATTTCAAAGTTTAGCCACAGAGGTACAGTCAAACAAGTCTACAAAGACCGTGTTTAATTCACCCTAACTACCCCCAACTTCCAACTTTTCATCACATTACATCACATCTAAAACTTTTCTACACATATAAACTTTCAACTTTTTTCAAACTTCTAACTTTTTTCAGGAACTAAACACAGCCGAAGGGTGTGTTTAGGGCCCGTTTAGTTCCCCAAATTTTTTTCCCAAAAACATCACATCAAATCTTTAGACACATGCATGAAGCATTAAATATAGATAAAAAGAAAAACTAATTGCATAGTTATGGGGGAAATCGCGAGACGAATCTTTTAAGCCTAATTAGTCCGTGATTAGCCATAAGTGCTACAGTAACCCACATGTGCTAATGACGGCTTAATTAGTCTCAAAAGATTAGTCTCGCGGTTTTCAGGCGAGTTCTGAAATTAGTTTTTTCATTCGTGTCTGAAAACCCCTTCCGACATCCGGTCAAACGTCCGATGTGACACAAAAAATTTCATTTTCCCCAACTAAACACACCCTTAGTTCACGCCAAAATTGAAAATTTGATTGAAATTAAAACGATGTGATGGAAAAGTTGAAAATTTATGTGTATAGTAAAGTTTTGATGTGATGAAAAAGTTAAAAGTTTGAAAAAAAAATTTGGAACTAAACAAGCTCAAAAGGTGAATGATGTCCGAATCAAAATTTGGAACTAAACAAGCTCAAAAGGTGAATGATGTCCGAATCAACCGTGATAAAAATGTGGCTGCTACTAACTAAACGCACCTAATAAAAACCCTCATTTCATAACAAGAATGATATAATATGACAAAAGTTATCGAAACCTGCTTCCCAGCCCTAGTTCTTAAAAATAAAAGTTATCGAAACCGAAAAAAGTTCAGCATTTTTTCAGATCCAGCTAATAACAGAGACGCTATATAGTGAAGGATCATGAAGTGGTTGTTGGTTGTGTTGTGTCGGGCATTTCACCCAAGCTGTAACACCTTGACGCCGACGCGAAAGTGATGGTGAGCACTGACGCATACAGAAAGAAATAGTAGAACTTTAACCCCTTTTAGTTTGGCAAAAAGAATTTTAAAGGAGAGTCTGTTTTCATAATTCCGCGGTAATGAGGGTTTGAGCCTTTTCGTCTTCATGTTAGATCCGCCCCTCGGGACGAGCAACGGAGGGAGGAGATGTGATCGCGACGTGGTGTTCAGCGACAGCAACAGCGATGCCATGCCCCGCTCGGTCGCGAGCGGTAGTAGCTCCGTGCGTTGCATGCCGTGCTCCTCCCGCTGCCGCCTCCGGGCGATAACACCAAAAAATACGACCTGATCCAACAAAGGCGGTGCACCAAACACCGTGCAAAACCTCAATTACTACTGCCACTGATCGGTGTACCACTAAACCTCCACTGTTCCGTCTCCACAACCTCAAATCTGCACCGGTACGACGTTTCCGGGTTGCAGTTTTTGACGACCAATCCTTGCATTCCAGACAGTACGTCGAACGCAAATTCTAGTAGGAGTATATATACCTATTAAGTATTAACGGCTGTGATGAATCACTCTTCTTTTATCTGTTTTTGACATGAATTCAGAACGAGGAGATAAGAAGACTGAAAAAAAAGGAGGGGCAAAGGTTCAGGGTTAGTAGCAGGGTGCTGTAACAACTAACAACCGAGTGGCACTAATGATCTCTGTCGGTTGACAAAGTTACGGACGGGCGCCCTATTCCGGCATCTTGGCGTTTGATGTGATCCTCTCTTCGGACAGCGAAATATGCTGCAAACTCCCAAACCCAACAACCAGCAATCATGGGGCAGCCACCGCCCGATTCCCATCACGGTCTCCAAACACGACGTGTTCATCTCCAAACCAAAACCAAACCAAACCAAACCCAAAACCAAAACCAAAACCAGAACCAAACCTGCTTCGACAAGAAAGATGATTACAACATCCAAGAACAGCCGAGATGTGGCCTCCAATCAGATCATGGGCGTTGCAATCAACAAGTGCTGCGAGAGCTTAGTGACAGCGACCACGCGTGTCAGCTAATGGGGCGTTGCACAAACAGTAGCGCGACTATGCAACTGAGCTAAGCCGAAGAAACAGCTCAAAGTGACAAAGCTCATTATTGTCATGAAAGGTTTGCTTAATTGTTTCTATGTGGCTGCCGACGGTTTGAGAAGAGCTGAAGAGTGAAGAGTTGTGTGTGTTTGTTGCTGTAAAAACAAAGGTTACTTGATTTAGTGTACTTGGAGGAATCTTTAGACGCTTTAAACAACACGGTGTACGTTGTGATCAGGATCAGGATGGCGATGGGACATGCATGTACAGTTCTCTCCTTTTTCTTATCGCAGACAAAGATCTGAAATATGTCTTCCCTTTTTTGTTTGCATAGGGTTGCTTCTGAAGAAAATACAGTGCAGCAACATGGCTGAAATGCTGAACGTTAATGTTCATGACCGTGTTTAGTTTTTTCATGAACAAGAAGAAGAGGTTCCCAGACATAATTGCAGGTATTAGGTAGGTTCATCCAGATGTCTGTAGGAACTGATGAATGCTCAAATGGAAGTATATGCAAGTAGCAGAAGCAAGAGTTGACATGGTTGATGGGTCATCTAGTCATCAAGCAAAGGTAGTGGAAATGACAAAGATATTCAGATATTCAGTACTGGAAATGAGAAGTACTTTGAACTGGAAATGCATTCAGATATTCAGTACACCACACCACTGACCACTTGGTAGGTAGACCCATGAAAATTGATCTTCTGAAGATCACCATCAGATATCGCCGTTGCATCCACTTACCAAAGAAGATTAATACTGAACACCAACATCAAAGTATGTGAAGAGAAAACAAAGAAGCATATGATTCTGAAGAAAGATGATACTAGTACAATTCTATGCTAAATTGAAATGAAGCTGAAATTATATATCACAGATGTTCTTTCATATTTTCTCCAAGTCGAATTTCCCATTGGCAAAATGCTTCTTGGAGCAATGCCACTCTGCCACGTAAAAAATGCAGCAGGATTCCAGCGAAAGCAAGAAGAAAGAGAGGGCCTACATGTCCTTACTCCACAGTGCACGCGGCCACCGGCTCAGCCCATCGCCGCCACCGCCGCCGCCGGCGGCTGCTTCCGCGGCGCCTGCTTGAACGCCACGGTGGGGCCAATACGGGAGCCCCTGCTGCGATGCTCGGCGACGAGCTCGGCGGCGAAGCAGTCCAGCCTCTCCGCGTTCGTCTGCTCGCCGACACGCCTCCCTTCGAACAGCACCGACTCCACGTTCCGGTGCTTCAGCATCTCGTCCGCCGCCGCGAGCAGCGCGTGCACGTTCGCCGGGGTTGGGTCGTACTCCCCGTCCGGCCCGCACGGCGGCATGCTCTCCCGTTTCGCCTGATCATGGCGGAGAATTTGTACCAGGGTTAATCCGAGGGAACGTTCGTTCGAAATGCGCAATGCAGTGGGAGAATTTGCTCACCTGAATGCGCAGGTAGTTGGACGAGCGGCACTGCCCGAAGGCGCGCGCCACGGCGTGGTCGACGAGGTCGGCGGCGCCGTCGGCGGCGATGCGCGCGATGGGGCGCGCCCAATCCTTGGGACCCCAGCGGCGCAAGCGTCGGAGGTCGGCGTCGGCCGCGGCCCCCGTGCCACCGGCGGAGCATCCCCCGATGGAGAGCACGAGGAGGTCCTCGACGCCGCGCACGAACGGGAACTCGTGCTTGTTGTGAAGCACGTGCGTGATTGCGGCGGCGGCGGGGCTGCCCATGATCGGCCCGCCGTCCACGGCGGCGCAGGACGTGGCGCCGTCGACCGACGCGACCTCGGCGGGCTCGAATCGGCCGGCCTCCGACCACGCCGCGCGGCCGACCTCGCAGAGGCGGAAGTCGTAGCTCTCGCTCTCCAGGGCGTCGGCGCGCGAGAACACGAGCGGCGCGGACGACTTGAGGTCGTAGCAGGAGATGAGCACGGGCTTGATGGTATCCCGCAGGGTGAGCTCCTCGCCGAACGCCGTCTTCATGGCCGCGTCCAGCGCCGCCGTCGGCGCCGCGAGGGGCCGCTTCTTGGGTCGGCAGAAGAGCGACGTCGAGCCGCCGACGGCCTTGCGGAAGAGCCGGGGAGCGTGGTCAGCCACGAGGCGCCATGTGTCATCGGCGTGGAACAGAGGCGCGCCGCGCGAGTGCGTCGAGAACAGCATCGCGGCGAACACGCCGCCGGCGCCCGTACCGGCGACGAGGTCGAAGTAGTCCGCGACGCGGGCGTCCGGGTCGCCCGACGCGCGCCGGAGCGCGGCCTCCAGGTGCGCCAGCGCGCGGCCGGAGAGCAGCGCCCGCAGCCCGCCGCCGCCGCCATCCACGCACAGCACGCACACCTTCCCACGCTGCGCCGCCTTCCCCGACGGCACGGCCGTCGCCGCCGACGCCTGCGCCGCCGGCGCCTTGGGCAGCCACAGCTGGTGCGGGTCCGTGTACCCGAACAGGAACTTGCTCTCGAGGATGGAGAAAATCTCGTAGCTGAGCTTATCCGTATCCGCGCCGCCTCCCTCCACCTCCTCCTGCATCCTCTCCACCTGCATCTCCTCCGCCTCCTCCATGCCAATTGCCAAAACCCCCCCCCCCCCTCCTCTCTCCCTTCCCCCTACAAAGAAACAATCGAATCGCACCAAAGAAAAGACAGAATCCCTTGATGATTCGCAAGGATTGCCGCCCAAGTCTGCCCACTTCGCTTTGCCCCTCTCTCTCTTTTGAGATCACAGCCGATGGTCGATTGGTCTCTCAACTCTCAACTCAAGCCACACACACACAAACACACACTCTCTCTAGTGGCCGGCGCCTTTTGATTCTTGCGCAGCGGCAGAGCACGCGAGGAAAGAGACGACCAACACAGAAAGGCGCGCGCCCGATAGAGAGAGAGAGAGAGAGACGGCGAGCGCGAGAGGAAGCTAAAGAGGAGGATGAGGAGAAGAGAAGAGAAAGAAGGAAACAACAACAAAGGTCGTCGTCGTCTTCCTCTCTCTCTCTCTCTCTCCTTTGATCGTGTCTTGCTGCTGCGCCGTAACCGATGGAAGAAATGCTCCCGCTTGTCCTCCAGCGCGTGGACGCTCCGCACCAGGTCGGGAGACGTGGAGGAATCTCCTCCGTCCGCCGCTGCCTCGAGATCCGCGGGTAGACCCCCGCGCCGTGCACCAGGTCCACGAGTAGCCGCGGCCGCCGCGCGCGCGGTCGTCACCTGGGGTTCGGCGGGGTGATTAAACATACAAAAAGTAATTAAAAGCGAAGGAAGGAGGTGATTAATCCGGATTAAAGATGCGTGGTCAAGTGAAAATCATCTCGGAGGCAGCGTAAGTGGCGAGTTAATAATGATGGCTGCCGTTGGCTGGGTGAGGTGACGACGTGGACGCCAGTTCATCAGCTGGGGAGCGGGGTACCTACCTTGCATGCACCCGGTCCACAGCTAAGCCGCGAGGATGATCTGTCGGGAGCAGAAGCAATGGACATGTCAGCGTGTAGGCTCTGCTTTGTTGGTGTGGAAACAGTAGAGCTTTTTAGCCGAAGGCTGCAACCTCAGGTAGGATTAGACGGACCTGCGCCTGCGTGTCCCCGTGTCGCGTACGATCCGTTTTGCTGCTGTGGTGTACCGAAGGCTCGGTCCACGTCCACCCCCGGGGCAGGCGGTTTCGCGGCGGAGACAAGAGGAGGATATGGGGTCGGGTCAAACAGTGTGTGTAGTGTATCGGCGCAGCGGCGGTCCGTGAGCCCAGAAAAGCCTCTTTGGCCCGATCCGCCGGGTCCACGACTCGCGCGCGGCGCTTTCGGTTACGGTCAAACGCGAGCGGCGGTGGAGTCGCGCGGCCCGGGCGTGCGTGCGGGCGGCGCGGGGGATATGGCCGCGCCGCGCCGACCAAGCAGGCAAGGCAAGCACGGCACGGTGCGTGCACGGCAGCGAAGGCGCCGCGGCCGGTCGCGGAGGCTGGAGAGGGGGAGGCGGCACGTACGATCCGATCCCCTGTCCCCGTTGGTGGCACGAGGGCAGGCAGCCGGCCGCACGCTATTCTTTTGGCCTATTTAGTTTGATGCTATTTTCAAACTTATCAAATTTTGGTAAAGTTGCTAAAAAAGTGGCTATATTTAGATTGCTGCCAAATTTTGGTAGCTATATAGAAAATCCTGCTAAAATTTTGGCAACTATGCCAAAATTTTTGTAATGCCAAAATTTGGTAAGGTTTTTTTGGCATCAAAGTGAACAGGCCATTTTTCTTGTCACCGCTGCTTCCACGATCGGGAGCGTGGGGGGGAAGGCGGTGTGGACATCCCGCTGCGCGTCGTAGATCTTGTTTGGAAGCTTCTAATGGCTATAGGTTCTCCTATAATCTTCAGCTATCAGAAGTTTCTTCTAACAATTTAGTTTGTCGTACAGATTCTAAGAAATCTAAAAAAGTAAATTAGGCCCTGTTTAATACAGCTTAGGATTATTATAATATGGATTATTAGGAGTAAGCTGAAAAACCAGATAGCTTATTATGATATATTATTATAATTTATAAGCCAAGTTACTATAATCTGGTAAGCCACTCTAAAGGTGCTTATTTTAGATTATTGGGTGACTAACAACTAACAAACAGATTATAATCTAACTTATGGTAATCTAGTTCTATAATCTAGATTACAATAATTTTAAACTGAAACAAACATGGCCCAAGATAGAGGTTGTATAATTATTATTTTTTTAAGATTTCCACAAACTGAACAGAACCGTCTCGTCCGCGCCTCTCCCGGTCGTCGGTGTGGGACTGCATCGTGAGACTAGCACACGCGTGTGCCGGTGTGAGCGGCGGCGGTGATGGATGGAATGACTTCCTCGTTGTCAACGAGCTGAGGCAATGATCAACGTCAGGGCGGCGTACAGACGAGATTGACGAGCTGAATGCACGGTGACATACAAATTTAATTTCACGATAAGCTAGCTAATTTCTCATCAAATAGGCCTTGGTTTCTTTTCTCTTTTTTTTTTTTGACAACTGCTCGATGGGGAATTGGGGATCGTGTGCATTTACGGGGTACGCAATAGCTACCGTACCGATGCATTCCGGAATGATTTGGTTTGCTATAATTAATGTTTTGTACTATGTGGTTCATGTCTTGCTTGATGTCGAAGTTGCCTGATACTATGAGTGAGAGTAACCGTGGAGGTACGGGGAGACGGATAGAGAGATGTCAGTGATAAATGCATGGTGCAGTCAATTGTAGAGGATCCTGATCGCAGGAAAACAGCTACAAGTAGGAGAGTATACTACATTGGGTGCATGGTGGTGGTACTCAAATCAAGTATTGTTCATCTTTTTTACTACCTCCGTTCTAAAGTAAATTCATTTGTCATCCATTTAATACATACCAATACAAAACTAAAAACCTAAAATATCTCTGCTTTATCAAATCCCAATATATAACCATTCCTCATTTTATCTACTTCAAACACAACTATTTTCTACTTTCATAAACTCGAATACAATGACCACTCTAAATATTTTGGGACAAATGAAATGAGCTAAAATAAATTTATTATAGGACGAAGGAAGTAAGTATACTTCTATTTTACCAAAATAACTGTTATTATACGGGTTGCAGAATTGATATGCTTATTATGTAATCGTCTAGGTCTATCGGGTGTTAATTTACGACCCTGGGCGACTTAGGTGAGAGTTGTTTCCTTCTGATTACAAAAGGCGTATACACACAACTGTGACTTATTCAAGAGTATTGCATTATTGTAAGTGCTGTTATTAATAGTCTGAAGCTTAGGTGCTGTTATTAATAGTCTGAAGCTTAGGTGGCCCTATTGGAAAATACTGCAGCTCGTGCAGTTTTTGTATGGTTATGTATCACCAAACGTGTTAAGGTGTTGATCCACGCACGTTTACGTATAGATTAACTCAATTTCGTTTAACTATCATTGGAATTAAAAAAAAAGAACCTGTGCGTCTTTAAATTAAGAAACAAGATAAGCAGACAAGAAAAGGAACAGCTGCTCCTCAGCACATAGAAGTTAGAGAACAACACGAGACCAACTTTACATAAACAACTACAGTATCAAGGGCCAGATCACATTAACAAAAAAAAAAAAAAAACCTTATCGATACACTGCACCTGCAAGAGACACCACTGCTGCTAGTACTAATTTCTTCCTGTTATTGCTGAACAGAGCCAAACGGAAGTTCCCGATTTCCCGGTTCATATGGAATCTGGTATAAGAACATTGTCCTACCTGACAAGCTTGCCAAGTGATTGCATCCTATTATATGGCGAAGGAATGATGGGAGTAGACGGTGATAAAAGTAGAGCAACCAACAAAGATAATTAAGTAATTAACTACACCTCTAATCATCTTGGCGACAAAAAAAAAAGGGAATAAGACTATAAGAGGAGTTCTCCAGCATGCATATTGCTCAATTCGCGTCTAATTTTGATCATGTCGCCAACACGATTCGGATTCACCTAAAAAATTTAGGAAAAATTGAAACCATGCCATTATAATTTTACAAAATTTGATATATGACATCCTTACAAGTCATTGAGATACCGATGACATATCTCAAACTTTGCAAAATTATAATGACATGGTTCCAAATTACCCAAAAATTTACGGCGAGTCACTAACAATCCTAATCTTGAGAAAAATCCTCAAGTCAAGTTTAGAAGATCAAATTCAGGTAGCGGAGCTCATTTACATAAATTGAGACAAACTCCCGTCTTATAGATGTAACGGAAGATTCACAAGACAAATGTTTAAAGAGGATTCGCACTCTCACATGGAGGATGGATGTCTTACAACGCAAACAGGTGAAGATGAACGAATTACATAAAAAGTATATACAAAACTGATTGAATGATTCTCAATTAGCTAATGCGTTGAGTGCAGCTTATCTCTTAATTAAACTAGCCATGAACGTTATAAAAGGGTTGGTCTTGCCTTTCATTGATCCATCTCCATGTCTTACTAGGACAATAAACCAATTATGACTCGAGAGAACTCAAACCCAAGCAAGAAAGTATGAGAACCGGCAAATTAAACTCAGAGTCGACTCTACCGGTCAAATGTTATTGGTTCGACCAGCCATCTGCCGTCGGTCGAACCGGTCCTAAGCCGACTGTTAGATCAGCTTCACTCACGCAACACACCCTGAATCTTTTTCAAACTTTAGCCGTGTTTCCTTTTTTATTTTGGACGTCAAATTTGAGGTTTAATACAGATATTTACACAACATCTCTATTTCAAAATATTTAAGAAAGCAGACGCACGGATAGCAACTGGAGCATCGTCTAGAATCACATGGTAGCTAACCTTTTATTTTGAAATAAAGTTTAAACTCTATAAGTTAATTTATTTTGCCACAAAGGGAACATATATAAATAGTGCGTACCATATGCTTATGAGATGAGCCGACCACATATGAAAAAGTACCACATTAATTTGATCTAAAATATAGAAGTAATCAAAATTTGTTTAAAAATCAGGCATTTTCTCTATCAATATTCTCTTCTTAACCAAACAAAATATTCTCCTATTTAATTTTGCGATCTATATATTTTATCTTCGTAACCATTTGTAACATTCTTTGAATTAATTTCATGTATTATCTTCGTTGTAGAATATAGCTACGTAGAAGTAAGCGTAGCTCAACTGATTATGTTCCTATGGTGTAACCATCCCACCTGGACTCAGGTGCTAGACTTAACATGGGTAGTTGGGTACTCATATTTACGGCTAAATTATTATCTATTATATTATTAAATGAATAGAAAAAGGAGCCTCTATGTTCGCTCTCATGGCCTAGAAATTCTCACATTAATCAGAGAAAAAGAAAAAGCAGAGTCCATATAGAAATACAATTTAGAAATAGCTAAAATTCGGAATTAAAAAATAAGGAATATTAGAAGAGGAGACTAGAGTCCATATATAAATACAATTTAGAAATAGTTGAAATTCGGAATTAAAAAATAAGGAATATTAGAAGAGGAGACTAGAGTCCATATAG